GTTGATCATTCTGTTTTCATAAGCAGCCCTCCCAAGACAAGTACGGGAAACACTGGAAAAGGTCTAAAAAAGTTTATTGAAGATGTTTTTGATTATAGAATTGACCAACAACCATGTTAATATTTTTGTAGTACAAAATAAAAAGGTGAGTCGCGTAAATGTGTGTTTTCATAAAACAAGTAGCCCCCCACCCCGCCAAGACCAGTTTCGTAGGGGAAACACTGTTTAGACGTTTTAACAAACCTTTTTCAACCTTTWGCTGGCCTTTTGCAACTTTTAGCTTAGTCTCAACCTTTTGCTACTTTTAACCAAACTTTTTCTACCATTAGTTTTTAGCTAGCTTTTATAAGCTTTAAAYACTCCACTTCAGGTTTTTCAGGACATTTTAGCAGGGTCTTTTCAGTGTCTTTTCTCTAGTTTACCTCGTCCCTTTGTTGGTCCAGATCAATTTTGGAAGTGCACTGGGACAGGCTCTCAGCTCGTTCCAGCCTTTCTTGTGGTGTGTGACTCACAAGAAGGTCAAAGGTCTCAAAATAGAGCCATGCCATGTCTTCTGAAAGCAACAGCTTTCCACAGGCGATGTGTCTCCACATAGGCCAGCCCAAAGCAGGATAACAGCCATCTCGTGTTCGCACATAACTTGCCATTTTACGAAGATAGTGAAGGCCGAGTTTGGAGGAAGGAGCCACCTATTTAGGACATTGAGTAAATGAAAACATTTGCATCTCCTAAACATTATTCAAGTTAGTCGAAAATAAGAGTGTATTTACTTGCAGAGCACCCAGTAGGAAGGGTTCCATGCATGGCCATATGCTCACACTATCCGTCTCCATGTCTGAACAGGAAAAAAACAAAACAAAAGAGCTGTGAAAACATGATCCACAGTTGAAACAATATCATTAAAATATACATGCATAATGCTTTGAGGTCTTCAAACTTTATCGTCTCAACTTAAACAATGAACCACWGTGGCCAAAAGTTTTAATAATGTAGTTTCAGTTGACTTAAATACCATCAATTCACAACAAAAGTCCTGTCAGGGCACGGACTGTGCAAAAGTTAGAGTTCCACCCATAAATCCAGTTTATATCCCGATTCAGATCCAATTCAGTCAGTTCTTATTATAATACAGTACAATATGAAATGCCAATAAGTCAGTTATACATCTAAGAAAGCCAGCGGATTGCATCAAACTGCAGTGAGATTTTAGAAGCAACTAGATAATAGTGTGAAAGAAACAGGCAGGCGGTGCACAGTAACACATTGTATTAACAGCCATCATAGGCAGACTTCACAGTCAGAAAATGACTTAATACTGTCCCAATGGTGGCTGCAGGGTACTTTGCTTCATAGGCCTGGGACTGAAGGCCCCCTGAAGGCAAGAAACCAGAATATCTTCAGATAACCCATGCAAACAAGAAGAGAATGCACACTCCACACAGAAAGACCCCAGGCCAAACTTTGGCCACCATGCTGCAAGAGCACCTGCTTTTATTTTGATTAATCACTTTGAAGGTAATTCSTGATCAAGCTTCCACTGAATTCTCTGTCTCCAATCAGCTCCAGCAGCACAGTCAGGCCTCAGCAGTCAGAAGGCCTTGATGCCTTATCAAAAAAAAAATAAATAAATAAATAAATAAAATAAAATAAAATAAAAAATCCTCTAGCAGCTGCTTTAAGAGCTGCAAACAAGAACTCACAGAAAACCTCTCCTAAAAAACTTCCGCCTCACTGTAGTGATCAAACTTTTACGTAAGTCTTCCTGGTTACACCCCTGAAGGTGGGACTTTTTACATCAGACGTTAGAACGTAACCAACTTTGTTATGAAGACAGAAAAAGCACATTGATAAGACACACACTCTCCTTCTCTGTTTTCAGTTCTTGATATATAGACACAAATGAAAAAAAAGTAAGACACAAAGAAATGATAAATTGAGAGCCATTAACTCTTTATATTTTGACTYTACATTCAGAAGAAAAGTGCACAACAGGTGACATTCTCACATTACTGTTAAAAACAAATCAATATTTAATAAGGATTGGATGGAAAAAGGGATTTGGTCTGTGTTACGTTTAGTTAACAGTAATGGCTGCTTGTTTTCATATGATGCTCTGTGTCAACAGCGTAATCTAAAAACAAATCAAAAAACATATAAATTCATAATCAAAGCCATTCCAAAAGCTGTCTTATGTTTAATTGCAGGTTCATTGGCTTATTCACCTAGTGTTCCATGTTGACCACAATTATTAATTGGAAATTACTCTTTCAAAGATTTCAAGTTTTCCAATAAAACTATTCGACACACTTATTTATCCCACCCTGCCATTTAAAATTTCCATTTGTCAAAATTTTCCACCACAATCAGTCCATAAATTACGCACTAAATACCTCAAATTTCCAATTGTACCAAGAGCCAAAGAAATCCACTTTAAAGCTTTATATGGAATATATCCATCTAATTATTTTATTCATCAGAGGTTTGGTGTTGAAACAAATAATTGTGTTTTTTGTGATGATACTGAAACAACAGAACATTTATTCTTTCAATGCATGTATGTTGAAACATTATGGTCTGATATGTTTGACTGGTTATTTCCCAAAGTTCCCAGTCTSCAAATGTTCTCTGAAAACAATATAATTTATGGACTTATTATGGACAATAACAACAGTGACTTTCTCATCAACACAATTATCATTCTGGAGAAATTTTTCATCCATAAAGCTAAATATCTTAAGGTTAAACCAAATTTCTATCATTTTCACAATGACTTTATTTTGTACTGCAATCCTCTTAAAGTGATGCACACTAAACATGCCCACAATCTGTGCTCTTTAATTGAASAGTATGATTTAACATCTAAACCATAGCCTTTTTTTGTTCCTTCTTATTTTTAAACTTCTTATCTTTATTTGCACCCATCCTTTTCTCTTATATGCAAGGTTGTTTGTTTGTTTGAAATACGCCTTATTGTTTGTACATTGTATTATTTTGTGTGTTCTTTGTTGTTTAATAATAAAGAAAAAAAAACAGGTGACGTTCTCAAACACAGGTCCATATTTTTCCTACAGGTGCTCAAATCAAAGCTGCAAGTTTTTTTTTTTTTTACCTTCATAGACCTCTGTCAAACCCTTCATACGGTTCTGATCTAACGGTTTCCATATGCATTTATATTTGTTTATAATTAATAACTTGTTTTTTCAACTCTTCCCGTAAAGCTAAAACTTTTAATCACTGGACACGTATGTGGTGAATAGTTGTTCTGTTTTGCTGGTGGGAACAAAAAGTTTAACTCATTCTGTGAGCGCAAATAAGCAACTTTTCTCCATAGAAGTGATGCTAATGTTACGTTAGCTGCAGTGTGTTCTTACCGTCAGGAGCTGCTCACCAGCAAGAAATCACAGAAAAAGGATCAAAACGGGAGAAAACGTAGAAGTTCAGTCTGTTGATTCATATCGTACTTGTCTTCTTCCTATTATGACGTCCCGTCCTCCTTTCCCAGCATCCATTGCGAGCGCTGACAGCGGGCTGACTTCAGGGGGGAGGGGCTTCTTCTTCTTCTTCTTAGATTTTTTTGTCGGTTGGCATCTAACTTTAAGATGCATTATCGCCATCTACTGTACTGGAGTGTGGGCCAGAGTATCCACCTGTTGTTTCTGCACCTCTCTTCATCACTTCACAACCTCCATACGCCACACTGTCTGCTCCTAACACACTGCTCATTTTCATGATTTTCTCCACACCTTGCACATCTTTTTTTCCTTTACACGTTTGAGCTGTGTGACCAAATCTTTGGCAGTTAAAGCATCTAAGTGGTCGAGGGACATATTCTTTTACATTGTAAGCCATGTACCCCATATACACTTTTGCTGGGAGCGTTTCCTCGTCAAACTCGATCAAAAATATTTTCAGTCCTTTTTCTCACCATTTCTTCTCACGTCTTTAATCCTCCGCTCTCTGAGATTTACTTTAATTTCCTCATTTGAAATCTAAACTGGAATTCCTCAAATCTCTCCTTTTTTCCATTTACGACCTTCTTCAACAATGCTCACACTTGTTACTTTATATTTTCCTACTTCTTTCATCTTACAAGCTCTTTCTTTTTGTTCTTTTTTATTACAAATTATCATCAAATTTCCATCTCTCAAGATCTTTGCATTAGCAATTTCACCCACTTGATTTTTTAAAATAGTTGTTAGTTTAACTGGGTTATTTCACACCATTCTCCTCATTAAACCTCACAGTTACTTTGAACTCTTTTACCTCCTCCTCCCATTTCTTCCTCAGATTCCCCATAATTTTTCAACACTTTTCCTTTCTTTCTTGATTCTGCAGCCACAGAAGATTTTCCTCTTTTAGAACTCATTTTTTCACTATCTGAAGAATCACTTCTCCCGTATTCCTTATTTACTACCAGATATTCGTACTGATTTTATTTCTCTTTTCCTTTCTCTTTCTTCATCTTTAGATCTATAATTCTTAACCATTCACCGTTCTGCTTCTTTCCCTTCTTCCTTGTGCCACTGGACTCGTTTTTCGGCCGTTGCTCCTCTTCAGCTTCTTGTTCAAACTCGACTTCAGGGGCTACCCCCGYGGGGCCCAGACATGCTAARCGCGACGCCATCTTGAAACAGTCTACTTAAAGGGATGGGACTATCCAAATTATGTAAACAATGCTGAGTACTTACCAGATTAAGTTTTTTTTTCTTTTTAGAGTAGCCCCGATTTACATGTACTCTATTACTGAGCCCGCGAGGGGACATGGGGGATTTGTTTCCTTTTGCGTTCCCTCACAAAAGTAGTTTATCACTGTTGTGCCTGCTGGTTTATCAGCAAAATCACATGTTCACCATTAGCGAGTTAGCCTACTGCTTTAATTCAGCTTCAGAATGAATACATCACACAGCCACGCATGGAAATATGTCATATGCCGATATTTTAACACAGTACAGCCACACAACATCAATGTCAATTGCACAAACTTGTGGCGACACATCCTGTTTTGGTAACCGGATATTTCAAAATAAAAGTCTGATTTAATTCAGTTCAAATACAGAACACTCTTTTGCGTGGGAACGTAAAAGTATTGCGAGGTAACGCAATACTATTGCGTGGGAACGCAAAAGAAAAAAAAAACTCCTGCCATGTCCCCTCGCGGGCTCCGTAACTTTATAACACATTTACACACAGATAGTTGAAAGAAAAAGTTTATTTTACCATGTTATTTTAACTAAAAAAATGTTATTTTATTGACAACGTAGTCAAAACAAGTAAAAGAAAGTGTACTAAAATTACGTTGTCAAAATACATTACAAAAACCAAGGCTTAAAGCATCATTTTGAAAACATCATTTAGAAATACACAATAAACTAAAAAAATAAAACAAACAACAAAACTGTGTTCAATAAAAAGATTGACAATCATTTGTAAAATAAATGCAGTTAATGCACCCCATTGGCTGACTTGTTTGAATAAACTCCACCCACCCGACCGGNATCACACAGCCACGCATGGAAATATGTCATATGCCGATATTTTAACACAGTACAGCCACACAACATCAATGTCAATTGCACAAACTTGTGGCGACACATCCTGTTTTGGTAACCGGATATTTCAAAATAAAAGTCTGATTTAATTCAGTTCAAATACAGAACACTCTTTTGCGTGGGAACGTAAAAGTATTGCGAGGTAACGCAATACTATTGCGTGGGAACGCAAAAGAAAAAAAAAACTCCTGCCATGTCCCCTCGCGGGCTCCGTAACTTTATAACACATTTACACACAGATAGTTGAAAGAAAAAGTTTATTTTACCATGTTATTTTAACTAAAAAAATGTTATTTTATTGACAACGTAGTCAAAACAAGTAAAAGAAAGTGTACTAAAATTACGTTGTCAAAATACATTACAAAAACCAAGGCTTAAAGCATCATTTTGAAAACATCATTTAGAAATACACAATAAACTAAAAAAATAAAACAAACAACAAAACTGTGTTCAATAAAAAGATTGACAATCATTTGTAAAATAAATGCAGTTAATGCACCCCATTGGCTGACTTGTTTGAATAAACTCCACCCACCCGACCGGCCGCTCTGTCAGCCGGCTACAAATGGTGTGTAGCCAGTTAATCTGCGCGCCTCCTCTTTTCAGTTTCAAAACTTTAAAATTAATRCTGTAGCTTTATTGTTTTATAACAAGTCTGCAGTTTATAGAAAGGACAAACCTGAATACACAAATATGAATGCGGCATTGACGAGAAGGGCTCCTTTAACGGTGGGCGGAGTTTTTCCGGAGGGCGGGCTCTCTCTGACAGCAGGAAAAGGTTGGAGACTGTCAGCGGTGGTTGTCTTCAAATAATCCGACTGGTGTTTGTATAATCTGCCTTTTGTCGAACCCGTGGACCTATGGCTAAAAAAGGGATGACCCTGTGTAATGTGTGCTGCCTGCTTCTTTATGTCACCACAGCAGTGCTCGCCGGGTAAGTGACCCAGTGAGKGAAGCAGCACCGGCAGCTGCCCGCTGGTCCACATGTTCCTCTGTGATTGGTCTAACCGCTCTCTYCGTGTGTGCAGCGGGTTGACACACTTAGAGCTAACTCGCTAAGTGTTGTTTTCTAGCAAAGCGTTTACTCTTCATAACCAGTGGTCCCGTTTTTTGTTTTTGTGGTCATGTTTTGGCCTTGTTAGCTTTTGTTTWGGCTAGTAAGATTCACCCAAAGTCCCAGCTCACTATAGCCGGCACAAGAGCTAACATAAGCAGCAGCACTTAACAGGTTGCCGTRATTTTTCTTTCTTTCTTTCTGTCCATACAGACGTGATTTCTACAAAATCCTGGGGGTGAGCAAGTCAGCATCAATAAGAGATATTAAGAAAGCGTACAGAAAGCTAGCTCTACAGCTACATCCTGACAGAAACCAAGACGACCCTAAAGCTCAAGACAAGTTCGCGGATCTGGGAGCAGCTTATGAGGTTGGTCAGAAACTTTTGTTGTTCGCTTCATCACTTTACTTTCGGTCTAAGTGTGTGTTATTAAAGTGTATGTATTTAGAAATCAAGTTTTGTGCGGAAGTGATGAGGCTGTAAGTGGACACTTGCTTCTTGGTTGTTGTTGGAAACGCTTTGAGCTCGGTGATTGGTCAGCTGGACTGTGTGGCTGCATCTGATTGGCTTAAATAAACACAAGTGGCTTAAAGAAAGTCTGACGTGGATGAGTTGGAGTGGATTCTGATAGGAGCTACAGATTTGCCCTGAAATCTGAGGAGATGCTTTAAAGGAGACCAATTTTGGGTCCTAGAAACATTTTATATAGGCTCTGTTTGGCTATTTTTACTCTTTAACATTTATTAGATTTGTTTATATTATTAGTATAGTAATACTATTATTAA